AATATGTATGAAATCAAAATAAAATGTTTTACAACAATCTTGTTGTTTGAGGGCCATACGCACCTTCACTTCCAAGTAGTTTTCGTTCTATTTTTGAAAGATAGAAACATTTTTTGGAGCCAGATCCAGGCTCTAGAGATGCGATACCTGCTGAAGGTGGAGGAAAAGACTAGACGAAACAGAATCCGCAATACTACAATACGAGCCAATCTCGACGCCAAAGTGGTGGAAACCATAAAAGAAGAACATCAGTTGAGATGGTTTGGACACCTTCTCCGTATGGATCGGAACAGAGTTGCAAAAAAGACGTACGAGACTCGCGTGCAGGGTAGGAGACCGAGAGGAAGACCCAGAATCTTCTGGGAAGAGGTCGCCCGAGATGCATTCCAGAAGTGAGATTTAGAATGGAATAGAAGACGAGAGCTGGTACTGGAAAGGTCCACCTGGTCCAAGCTTTACAAGAAGCAACCTCACACTGCATAGGCGGTAAAGAGGAACATGATTATGATGATGAGAATCTTTTTTTTCCAGTTAACATTTATACACCTAAGAAGTATCATTTCAAGGGACTAAATTAAATATTGTAATTCCAGTGTATTCTCAATATATGATACCGCCATGACAGTTATTGAGTAGCCAGGGCCGGTAGGTAGCACTCAGAGCAGAGGACAAAGGGCACTTAGATCCAGCTCAGGAGGACCCTTTCAGCTACAGCCACTAACCGCACATATGTGTCCCTATCAGGTATAACATTGTAATATATATTACTATTGGCAATATAATTATCTAACCTAAAGTCCGTTATAGAGATGTCATAATAAATATATCAAAGATAACTTTAGCAGAAAACTTGGGTATTCTGTGGCGTTGTGATGCACTATCAGAATTCCGCCTCTTTTTCTCTGCATTTCTAAGGTCTTCCGATTTAGGTCCTATAGAAAAATTTCTAAACTTATTAATTGTTTCAAGTCTTGGGATTTATTAATTAGTGTTAATTTATTTTTTTTATTTATTTATTCCTGCTGATTTAATGTTTTTGATAGAGATAGAAAATAAATTTTATTCTACAACTAAGGTTACCTAAAAATAACAATTACGTACAAATAAAGAAATCACATATCTGGTCAAAAACTACATTAACGAAATACTAACAATATATATAGTAACTTCAATACCAATATATAATCAACTAAAATAAAATCTTCTCATGAATAAATATAAATGTAATGAAAAGAAAATGAAAAACAAAATATAAAGAAAAAAAAAACTAAGGTGTGCTTTATACCACATGGTAGAAGTGAAAACAGCAAAAAGATGAGATTAATAATATGAAATATAAATTATAAATAATAGCTCATAATAAAGAGGGTCAAATGCTGTCATTTCCCTCGCTTACAGTATGAAGGTCATATTTTTAGCTTCTGAGATATTTTAATCCATAGCTTCCATAAAACTCTTTAATTTGTGTATGCGGTTCTATTGTATCCCAGCATTTTTCAATGATTTTTATTACATCTTTCCAGTTAATATTGGCAAATAAATTTCTTCATCAAAATCCTTCTTGATCCACCTGCATTGAGTTTTTTACACCAATGTTACTATCTGATTTTAGGTTATTGCTTGTGGAATTGAGATATTTAGCCAAATTTTTCAGTTTCCCCGTTGATATTACTGATGATAGGACTAAGTAGAGCGCCACTTTTGTTGTAACTAATCCATGTATTCTAGGTGTATTGTAGTTTGGGTTAATTAGTTTAATTTCATTTGATAAGAAATTTTTAAAGTTAATAACAAAGTTCTATTGCATAAAATATAGACATCAAAGCAAAGTCAATCTAAAAATGTCTTTGATGATTTATAATTTACTTTTTTTAAATTAGTGATATTTACTAGTTTATGATGTCTTCAACGACTACATAATATTTATGTGGGAATCTCCAGTTAGAATTTTATGTAATGTTATATTTTATGAAAATAAAGTGTTTCTCTCTGTATATTGTCCATTATGCCTAATAATGTCTGCTATTGTTATCATTTCTATTTTTTATATATTATTAATAATGTAGTCAAAATAAAATTTCAATGTTGTAATTGAGCATTTGTACTATATATTATCATTTGGTTTTGGAAACTATCTTTTTCCCTCTTCTACTCTCAAGTACACGGTGTAAGGTTAAGACACAATTTTTAATAATAGCTCATTACAAAGAAGACAAAATTATGAACATTCCCCACTCATACAGTAATTCAGGTCCGATTTTTAGTATCTGAAATATTTTAACCCATATATTCAACTAACCTCGTTATCATTTGGTTTTTGACACTGTTTTTTCCTTTTCCCCTTCCTAACACGGGGTCGCCTTAGGATACAATTTTGAATAAAGCTCATTACAGAGAAGATGAAATGCTGAACAATTTCCTCGCATACAGAATGCAGACCCGATTTAAACTTTCTGAGATATTTTAAACCATATGTAAAAACATTTCAATTAGTCGACTTTAGCCGACTGTACCCGAGCGTTAAAATCTGATCGATCAATCTAATTCACGCTCCACAAGAAAGTGCAAAACGCGCCTAAACAAGTTTTCACTTCAAAAAGTAACAAAATAAGTAAAGAAAAAGACTTAAATACAAAACGTCGACTTTTGATGTTAAAACATAAAACGGAAAAACAACCATTTAGTTCTATCAAAATTCCATTCAAATTGGATGTTTTTATTAGTTAAAGTCTGTGGGATATGAGAAGGTATTGGAAAATAAGTTATTTGTATGATGACAGAGAAGAGTCATGGCAGATATTAGGCGTCAAGAGATTTAAGAAGGCAACGCAGTGAGCAAGAATGGAACACTCGTAGGTTTTAGTTCTATTGTAGGAGTTGTAAAGGTCAGAAATAAGGGATCTTGTTCAGCGTTTGAGCTGTATGCGGCGGTAAATATAGAAAGGGTGCTGGGAATCCATCGTTTGGCATAACTGAGATCCGAGAAAGTATATACTGCTTAATGAGGGGAAAAGCCTGATATTCAAAAAAAAAATTACAATCCAGTATTTATTCGGGCTAACGTGTGTGCACAGCACCGCCGTTGCCCGGCAACCTGATCTATGAGACAATGGATTTAAAATAGTCATGAGTTCTCGTCCCGATGCCGGGGGAGTCTTTTGAATCCCCGCCCACACTTCCTGGCCCGGGAAAACCCCGTATATCCTTAAAAGGTGAGGAAGGGGAGGACCCCCAAAAAAACCCAGTATTTGTAACAAGTGTTATTAAAATGTAGTAGATTTTAAAGCAGATCAATTTTTTTTTCAGCCAGCAACTAAAAATTTATCAGTTTAATGAGTGATCTAAATATTTTAGGACCCTACCTTAAATGGGACTAGTGACTCGAGTCACACAAAGGACGGTAAAGGCGAAAGAGCACCAGCCTCTCCTTTTATCTTAAGTCCTGATCTGGATTATCTTGGGAAAAGCCACAGTGGACTTCGTTTTTTTTTCTAGCCTTCGGAAGTCATTTTTTAACTGATCCCGAACCGAGATAGGACCTTTGGATTCTAACTAGGGCATTACAGTTCGGTTCAATTCTTGGTTTGGTATCTAACCATTTTAATCGCAATTACATAACTAATTAATAAGTCTGGTAATACGAAAAGAATTAAATCAAATTTAAATTATATTTTTAAAATTAAAAAAAAAAACATTTTCCGGAAATAATTAATTTAAATAAATCAATTTTATTATACTAACACGATAAAAAAAAAAATTAGAAATTTATAATGTATTTCATTTTTCATTGATTATTGATAATTCATTGGATGTTTAAATCATTAGATTTATTCTGTTAATTATCTTTTAAGTACCTATCAACTGTATGTTGACAATCAGCAAATGATCTGACTTTGTAATGACATGTCAGGCAGATGGAAGGACAGTACCTAGGAACACTTCTTTCCAGATTTGATTCCATTACTTCCGTTCTTTAATGAAGAAGGAATCTCTTCTAGCGGCTTTTTAGTCTCCCCCTCAGTTTCAAAAATATTACAGCATAAGAAGATAAATATTAAGACATGTGACTAGTCTTATTAAAAGTGTTGGTATGCCCGTTTGAATTTTTGTAAAATCGTTGGTAAAGGGTCATTATGTGTTGGTCAAATATTGGCATGTGAAGGTTTTGTTAGTCACGTACCAAGCTGCTTTTTTTATGAGTTTTAATAATTTTGATTGGAAGGTTTGAAGTTTTAGTAGATTGATCTTTCTGGCGATACCGTATATCAGCGATGCGTATTTACATATGGCTAAGTATTTTTGAGCATATGGTAATTATATATGTGCATTTATTTTCTGTTACAATTTGAATTTTGAAAATTTAGAATAAGATTTTAAAAGTATGTAAAGTTATTCGAGTCGTTTGTGAACGGTCAACCGATTTTCACATACGGCCCCATACCGTGCCCGTCTACTAGTAATTTTATGTAACTAAAGTAATATTGTAAAGTTAGTGAGGCCTATGTAGGTAGCACCTTGATGCTTTGTAAGAAATAAAAATTAAAAATGAGGTGAGTGAATTAATAAAAGCAATACAATTAAATTTAAAAAAGAAAATTATGTAAGAACCGACTGTTTATGGCCCACGTTGAAACTTATATGTGTATTAGATGATGTGGTAAATAATTAAATACAATTTTCAGAATAATTTCCTACACTAATTGTTTTTCCCACATAATAAAGTCTGAATGTGCCCCAAGAGGGTCTTCCGACCCGAGTCACTCCACGGTTGATAAGAATAGAATATTCGCTCCCTGATAATAACTTTTTCTTTATTTGTATTTTTTAAAACCATCTCCAAATTAAAATAGATAAAATAAAAATAAACCAAATCTTCTAGACTGCAAATTGCAAACATTTTGAAAATGGCCCATACCACTTCATTATTAATAATATATATGATTCGCTTAGTCAGCGCCATTGAGTATGTCACACGACCATGTAAAATAAAACAAGGGGGGAAAAGTTATCTTTGTACTTTAATGTTTCCTGAAGAAATGACAGACATCAGCTATGCGACAACAGGTATTGTTTTAGGTGAACTGGAAGACAGACATCGTCCACTAATTGTTTTACGCCATTCTTGGTCTGGTTTAGGCTGGAGATGATAGCGTCCCTCGAAGCCTCCAGCAGAGTCCTAACGCTGCTGATCTGGACCAACCTCACCTGCCGTGTCTTGCCGTAGACATCCACCACGGCGTAAAGGGGATCGTGGGACGGTATCCTCTCTGCGCAGATCTTAACCTCGTCCCCGTTCGAGATGAAATACATCTGCGCAAACTTACCGGCATTCAAGTACATGATGGCCAGCCTGCTTCCGTTGTCAGTCACATGCCGGACGAATGTCTTGGGCTTCAGGACCGTTTCGGGTATCGTCGGAGTGTCTTCTGGACAGTCGTTGAGAAGGGGCTCGAACATAAACCTCTTGGAGACGGCGAATATCCAGGAAGGGTGGGAGTTGGTCAGGTCCGGCAAGGAGTACTTGGGCAGGACCGCTTCCTGTGAAGGGATGAAGGTGGTCAGTCCGAGGCGGAGGTGGCCGTTCCATCCGCGCTCCTTGGATTCAATGTCCACAGCGAAGATTTCTCCGGGTCTCAGCGGCCTCTCGCTGAAGACTAGAGCGTCAGCGAATCCTCTGCTTCTCAGGGCTACGGTTCGATCTTCGAAGAGGTCTATGTTCTGGCCATGGCATTGATGAAAACGAATGACATTCTTCAACTGGCTCATTACCTTTTCTGTCCTTCTAGTCTTTATTGGTGTAACTTATACTAATCCTGAATAAATAAAGTACTTCATTGAATCTTAAATTGAAAAAATAAATCATTTAACGAATAAAAAAAAAACATAAATACATTAACACATGGCAATCATATTTTACAGTAATGCTCACACTATAGAATTTCTAAGTATAATAATCCTTACAAAATGGAAGCTTTGTAATTGACCCTCTTTAACCAAAACTTGAAAGAAATTATACAGTTTGTAAATACCTTGATAATTACAATGTTAATGACTATAAGATGCACTTTCATTTTTAAAACTTTTTGATTACGACAACAAAAAAAGGTTTATCGATTTCACCTATGATCTTTTTGTTCTTAGGAGTGAGATATTATATATCTAAACACCTTTTTACCATACAAGTAAACTTTTCTTGTAATTTCATACCATACTTTCATATTGGGTCAAAAAGATTAACTGTTTCGTAGCGAATCGACAAAATGAATCTCGACTTTCTCAATTTGGTTAGGATAGGTTTAGTTGTACCTCTATAACAACCCCTCATATGCCTTAAATGGCGAGGTAGAGAATAATAGAAAACAAGAAAAGAGGTTAACTATTGAAGTTTTCATTTTAAAACAAATACAAATACATATCAACAACCAAGTGATAAGAAGATATCAATACCATATACAAAGGCAAAAAAAAATTTAATCTCTGATTATAAATGTGAAAATTATCTGACGTATTAAAGTAAGTTAAATCGTAACTTACATGTATCGGTGCATTATTTATTTTTTTTAATATTTCTAATATTTTGTGATTATAAAAAAATTTAACGCTATGTAACTGTTCCGAAAAGTTGAATCGAGGAATTTTGAATCACAAGTGTGCGGGAAGTATCGATTTTATTTTAACATAATTTTTACTTTAATTTAACATATGTCGAATTTAAGACAGTCATGTGAAGCTAAGGTTTCCAAGAACTTGAATTGTTATATATCAGCTTTTAAAATAAAATTATGTTTTTTTCTTCTATTTTCAATTTTTTTGATATATGAAAAAATAAATAAAAACCGCCCAAAATTATTTTTAAACTCATATAGCCATCTCGATAATTACTGTACTAATCTACCTAGAATAAAGAAATATCTAACAAAATTTTACTAAAAACAATTGGTAGCATAACTCATATTCCTGAATTGATATTTTAAGATGTTATAAGTACATGAAGTTACTAGAAGTGCCATAACTTAAATCATGGTTAAATGTCTGCTATGTTTTTCAGTTGTCATTAAAACATCATCAAACATAATATATATATATATATATATATATATATATATATATATATATATATATATATTCTTTATTTTTTGCTTAATGTATTCCTTATTATTATTTAATGTGGTGGGAAGCTGAGGAGCCAAAACCTCAGTATCTTCTTCTCAGAATAATCTTCCAAAAGTTAAATAGACATGAAGGAAGGAGATGAGGAGTATCGATGATTTGATACTGTAATTTCCTAGGTTATTTTCCCCATTACCCAAACAAGTCAGCTTCCCCTATACGTACCCCTTACCCTGGTTTTCCAGTTCTAAGTGAAACTCCTAGCTGAACACACCTGTAAGTCTATAATTTTAATCTTCCAATTTTATTTACATATTTATTTATTTTGTTTGGTTTTCTTTTTTCTTTTCTTTCTCCACATTCCTTTATGTCTATTATTTCATATTATATCATTTTTCCTTTTCTTTCTATTTCTCCTGTGGATCTGTAGAAGTATATTCACATTGGCATTTATTATATATTACACTACAATAATTGTTAGCATCTATTTACTTCAGTTTAGGATCTTGTTACTTAGCTTACTCTGTTCATATTTTAATGTACTTACTGTTTATAATTTTAATAAGCTTATTCGCATTGTTCATAATTTTTTGTCTAACTATTATGTAACTTTTACAATTCTCTATCTTTTTTTAACTTGTCCGTTTTAGCTCTGAAGAAGACCTGCAAAGTCGGGTCGAAACTTTGGCATTTAATAAAATATTTTTGCCACTATTTAGCCTATTTATGACCGCCACCTCGGAACATCTCCTTCCCTTATAATGCAACGGCCAACTATTAAATATTCAATCTAAATAGATATGGTTTTGAATGAATTATTTCATATATTTGTTGTTATTATTACTTTTTTTTGTGCATTTGTCAAAAATATTGTAGACCTGTCTCAATCCTTTTTCCAGCTTTAATAAATATGAAAATTTAAAAAAAAAAACTAAAAAAATACTTACCAATTAAATTTTGTCAATTGATATATATTGATATTAAAATAAATTTATTCTAAACTTTTTAATTTATCAATATACAATCAGAAAATTATATATAATTTTTTTTTCTCTCTAATTGAAAAACATATTTTTTTTAATAAATATTTTTTGTTTCCTTGTGTAAATTTGTTTTGATACACTTATAAGGATTTAGAGGTAAGCCAATCTATGTTATCTTATCTTTTTGTATTTATGTAAATTTATAAAACCTTCAAAAGGAAAATAATACACTTTACTTCTCGGAACCATCCCTTTGAACAACAAATACATCCTCTTCGTTATTGATTCCAAGGGTCGCTTAGTTACCTCTTTCCCGCACACAAACAAAAAAAAAAAAAAAAAAAAAAAGAAACCTCATCAAGTAAAAGCGGAATATAGGAAGAGAGAAAAAAATCAAAGATATAAAAAAAAAAAAAACGAAAAAGAGGTTCCATTATTCCAGCGTTTACTGGCACCGAACGGGGAAAATCCGCAAGAGACATTTCTGAAATTAAACACCTTTGACTGTCAGATTGAATCAGAAACGGCTTAATAGAGGACAGGAAATCAATAGCTGCTAGGAAGCCAAAATCGCTTAAAAATCCACCAATACAAAGAGATTGTTTTATCTGCATCGATTTTAAAATATATAGCGAAAAAAATTAACTCATTCTGGTTATTTTATATTTCATAAAAACACGAATTAAAATTAAGGTATCAATTATCTCATAATATTAATTATCTACTTGAGACTACTTTACTTTAGCCTATGCCATAGATGGGGAACTGCGGCCTCCGAAGCGTAGCCTGTGGTCTCTGTGACGTAGTTACGTCCTACAAACGTTTTTGCGCTATATTTATTAATTTAGTACTTGAATTAATTAATATTTTATTATTTAGGTTTCCAACATTTTGAAATTAATAGAATTAAGTCTAATAAATGTATATGGGTTAGTGTATTTAGTGATGAATAAAAATACCAACAGTAAGATATCAAGAATTGCTCCGGCCCCCTTTAGCACTGCCTAATCATACTATGGAATCTGATGATAAAAAGGACCACTAATTTTGAAGATATTCTTCTCCTTCATGTGCGAAAAATAGTCATATTTCGAAATTCTCGAAAAAAAAAAGTTATGAAGGAAAAGAAACTTTATTTACAAATAACTCAAAAAGTATGTTTTTTTACCCATGATTATTAAAAAGAATACTATCAATAAATTATTTACAAAACAAAAAAAGTCCATAAAATCGGACAATTATTTACAAAGAAACAGCCCATTAATTTTGGTCTTCTTAATAATTTCTTCCTCCTTAAAGATACTGAATTTATTATTGTACTACACTTTTTTTCCTGTCTGATATATTAACTTTATTATTTCTTAAAGGCCTTGGTCTTAAATTTTCAATTTTTTAATAATTTAGAAAATCCCTTGATTAAGTCCTTAATATTTTTCCAGTCAGCGTTTGAAAATAGGCCCTAGCAAAGCAATTTGTAAAAATATTTTGGTTTATTATGTTAAATGGAATATTTTAATCAACTAAAAAAAAAAAAAAATTCATTCATTCCCCAGATAATACATAGAATCTACTTATTTCCATATTGTTTTGCTATTCCTCCACTAAGCAGAAATTTCTGCGAACTATTCGCACTGGCCAACTAGTTATAGTGATATTATTTATAAAGCCGTTTAATAAATAATCGTTATTAAATGTTATTATTTACAGCCACTATGTATAAAAAATCAACACATATTTCTTGTTATAAATTATACGTCAGTACTGAATCAGATAAAAGTTGTAATTAAAATAGATTTTTTTTTTATATGATATATTTTCTTATATATAATCCTCCAAAATTAATTTTAATTACAATACCGGCAATTATTTTTTCTAACAATAAATTAAAACGATTGCATAATTTATGATATTATTAATCATCATCAATGTCTTTCTCTATCTGTTTGAAAGTTGAGACTTGAGATTTTATTCTCCTTCTTATAACAGTCCGATTCAATGTGACCTGGGCCGAATGTAATCCGCTGTTTAAAACAATGTTCCCAACTGAGCATATTGCTTTATACTTCTCATTTCTACAAAAATAGCGTCCAGTAATTTCTATTGCAACAGATAAAAAACGTTACATATTAAGACTGGCCAATCTGATGAATAAATTAATAACATTTTATGGCAAATACGCAATACAATGACGAAACAAACGTGATTATCTCAGAATCTGATAAATGAAATCAAAGAGATTAAGATTTATTTAAATTGAATCATACTAATGATTCAGGAATCTATCAGAATAATGCTCGTCATTTTGATATCAAATCAAAGACTAGTTGACAGATGAGCACCTGATTTAACCAAATTCAGGAACGGCTGCTTCAAACATTTTTATAATATATTTTATTTCTCACAATGCGACGAAAGACGTGTTTTCGTGGTCAACTCGATATTGAGTGCACTTATGTTTTAAAGGCCAAGGAACACGAATATGACGTCAAAACTAGAAAATTGGCACGAAATACAAAAAATATCCCAGTTTCTTTGTTTAAATCAGAAATTTTTTAAGTTTACAATAAATTAACTTCGAAAGTGATGGATATCTCATAAAATACATAATTATATATACCTATTTATAACTACTGTCTATATTACTACATATAACTGTTGTCTTAATATATTCTTTTAACAAAAAAAACACAAAATATAATTATAATATATGTAGGTATATGTAATAACTTATGTATATGTATCCTTTATTAATTATAAATATTCATTTTATAATAATTCTTATATAATAATAAACATTTTATTTTATTATCATTACAAAAAAAATTAAAAACCATTGGTAATGATATTTTGAACACCTTTGATAATTCTTCACATTTTTCTATGAAAAAATA